GACTGCGGCCACGAGCGAGCGCTCAGCTGACTCGTGACGTCACACTGTCTGGTCAGGTGTTCAGGAAATAAGTAGCAACTTGTACATTTGTATTAGTTTTTATAGCGGGGTTAGTCAATAAGATTTTTGTATAAAGTGGCTAATTAGCAGGTATCTTTGACCTTTAGATCAACATTTATCGAATGCCACAAGAGCGGCGACGAGCGGCAAAAGTTATATTACGGTAATCGTAAGAATGTACTCAATTGGAAAGCAAAGATTTATTATTGTGATTTTTTTTCGAAACATAAACGATGGTGTAAGCTGGCAGCAAGATAGCAATTATGCTAAAAGCCTAGAAAACTCTCACTACTTGACACAAACATGATGCGATAACCTGCTTATGACGTCACGGCGTCAGCTGATCATCTGGGTCGGAAGTCAAGTCTTACCATGTAAAATCAGTACCCAGAACAGGGTTTGTAAATCTTGTATTATATACCGTTTAGGACATGCAGTGGTAGCCTGACCTAACAATATGGTATATTTTTGGTCCTTCGTGTGGTTAGGTTAGGCGTGGACTGAATTAAACTAGATTAAGTTAGGTTTTGTGAGCGGTAGGCTAGATTAAATTAGGTTAAGTTCGGCTTTGGAAGGAGTGAAGTCAAGACACTGGGTTATATTAAGGACGGGTTAATGTTGGTCAGGTTAGTTTGAAGTTCCTGGTCCGGAATTTGCGGAGTCCTTGGCGTCAGCTGTGAGTGGGTCTTCCGAATCCACTATTCCCGGCACCGTGCAGGGATGCCAGTGACAGTGGAATTGAAATGAATTGGAGAAGCAGGAGGAAGGGGGGGGGGGGTTCTGTTAGGTGAGTTCTAACAGAGAGAGGGAGTTTACACCAGAACTCTCTCATTTTACATCAACACTTGGACGTGATATTTCCAGCAACTTATCTCTTCCCTGATAATATGATAACGGTGGCCTAATCTCATAGCATGTGGCCGTCATGAGAGTGTGATAGCCGGTCGTTGCAACATAGATAGATCATAATTAGGTCATTATTTGATGGATGAATTGGGTCGTGATACAGTACGTCGACGGTTCTAGTTGCTCTCTGGCCACTGTATTTTTTTTTATCCTTTCGCTATTGTTTTAATGGCTCGTGTTTTTTCCTTTTTCCTGTGATCTGCTTTGGCTTTTATTACAATATCCCCCCTAACACTATTTTATTCCGCGTCTCTTAATAATTCGTATTTGTTCCTTTTATTTCGTTTATTTACACCTTTATTACCTTTCCTTCCCCTCCTCCTCCTCTAATGCACCTCGCTTATTGTATTTTTCTACCTGTCTTCACACACACGATGTAGCCGTTGAAAATGATCATATAATTACAGTACTTCTGACCTCTCTCTCTTCGTCCGTTTGGTTGGTTGTCCTTCACACGTACGAACCTCCACCACCTCGGTACTCGCTTTATTATCCAGACTTATACAACTGAGATGAAGGTCGATAACCTCTATGTGGATTATTAACTGCTCTGTTTTGTATATAGTGAGACGTGGTAGTGGATGGTGGTTGTTGAGGATGACGGTGATGGTTGGTGGTGGTAGTGGATGGTGGTGGTTGATGGTGTCGGTGGTGGTGTAAACAACATTGGTAAATTGGCTGGTGGCGTTAGTAAGATAGCAAAGGTTATTATGGCTATTTCGTTAGGCACTGTAGAATGGTGACCGCAACCCAATGTGTGTGTATAAACTGTGCTTAAATCAACACGGAGGACATTGTTGACATAGTGAATATGTTGCCATCCTTTTACCTGTTACCATATTTTCTAGAGTAGGTCGTGGGTCCAAATTCTTAAAGGTTCCTACGTCATATTCTTCTCCCAACTAGAGGAAGGATAATACAAATTTATTTGGATTGTTCTTTTTGTTGAGAGGAGGAGGAGGAGGAGGGTGTGTTGGGTGAGGTTACTGTGCCAACACAGGAAACAGCGTCAGTGAGTCACCTGGTTATAAGAACTGAGGGAGACGTCATAACCGGAGGCACCTGAATAAACCTACAGCAGGCTTCAGTGTCCGCTTTGTACTGTACTATACGTGGTTATGGTGGTGTTTGTGGGTACAGTAATATGTGGAAACTGTAGCAGGTGTCCAACGCTCCACGAGCTCCTGCAACAATAAGATTTTTTTTATATCTATTATCAAACACGTGACGTTACTTGTGTTCATACATAACACTTGCACACACACGTACTGTGCGTAGGATGAAACATTAATTCGTGGATGAGAACTTGTAGAATAATTATAACTGCATTGATTAATATATTTCTTCTTTATAAAAGAAAATTGTGATCACTGTATTCTTATGTCATCGTCTTCCTAAATTGTGCTTTGTGTAGCCGTCACACCAGACATTGTTAAACATCATTTTAAACCTGATCTAACCAGAACTGTGGTATTGTACTGTGAAAGTTGTCAGGTCATATTAGTTGAGTTCAGCGTGGCGTAACTAACGCTAGTCCATAGAAATACTTAACGCCCATTAGTCACTTAAAATTTGATCCATGTCAGCATATTTTAATATTGATTTCAGTCGCAAAATACTGATGTATTTTTTTCAGTTAGGCTGTATCTTACTCTCTGCATTGGTATGTTGGTGAGGATAAGTGAGGATGAAAGGACTAAGGAAAGTGAGAGTCTCGAGGGAGGGTGAGGTGTGTCATGTGTGTGTATTGTATACTCTGCGTTAGGATCAATGTAGGTCGGCGCAGCTGGCAGCGCGCCAACCCCACGCCCTGACCTGCCTCAGTACTGTTGGTTTCATAAGCTTTACAGAATCCAAGAGAAAATTTAAAGAAATACAGTTACCAGTATATTAATGTGATCCCTTTTAAAATTAATGATTCGTGCATACATAACTGTCACTTTGAAAGTAGAACTAAAGCTGTAGAACATCATCAGTTAGGAGAGGATAACGGAGACCCCTACAGTACAGTATCTGTCGCCAGGATTTTTTTTCTTTTGAGTAGCTCCCGGACCTGCCTCAACACAGGGAGGGGCGTAGAAAAGTAGAGCGCCGGTACTCCCTCGCCAAATATTTGTGACGTCCAGCTACCGTATATAGTAGAGGGGGCGCTGGCCGAGGGGTCACTACACTCTGTCCTAGGGTGGCTGATCCTCGCTCTGGGCTCCGCCTCGCCACCTAACCCAACCTACTGTATAGCGAAATTTCACTTTCTGGTTATTTTACTGTGTCACAATGCTCATTCACCAAATTCGTACTTTAAACCTAAATTATACAGTGTAATGATGAATGTATCCAGTTGGTTGTAACTCCCCTTGATAATAATAATAACTACGACTGATTGGGTTAGAAATAAGATTTGTCTAGAAACACGTTAGGATTGGTTAAGAATAAGTTAAATTGAGTTAGACTGGGAATAAGGTAAATTAAGTTAGGAATACATTAGATTAAGGTAGAAATATGTTAGATTAAGTAAGAAGCATGTTAATTTAAGTTAGATAAAGTTAGGTTAGGTTAGGAATAAGTTAAGTTAAATTAAGTTAATTTAGGTTACTTTAGAGGTGCTGTAACCAGGGCTTTATGTAAGTTACATGAGGGCTTCCGTCGTCTGGGTTCATCGACCTACCTACCTGCCTGGAGTGTTCGTCGCGTGTTACAAGCGTCTGCTGGTGTTTCATGTGTTGTAAGAGTGTGTTATATGTGTTGTAAAAGTGTGTTGCATGTTTTGTAAGAGTGTATGTTGCATGTTTTGTAAGAGTGTGTGTTGCATATGTTGTAAGAGTGTGTTTCATATGTTGTAAGAGTGTGTTGCATGTGTTGTAAGAGTGCGTGTTTCATGTGTTGTAAGAGTGTGTTTCATGTGTTGTAAGTGTGTGTTGCATATGTTGTAAGAGTGTGTTTCATGTGTTGTAAGAGTGTGTGTTTCATGTGTTTAAGTGTGTGTTGCATGTGTTGTAAGAGTGTTTCATGTGTTGTAAGAGTGTGTTTCATGTGTTGTAAGAGTGTGTTGCATGTGTTGTAAGAGTGCGTGTTTCATGTGTTGTAAGAGTGTGTGTTTCATGTGTTATAAGAGTGTTTCATGTGTTGTAAGAGTGTTTCATGTGTTGTAAGAGTGTGTGTTTCATATGTTGTAAGTGTGTGTTGCATGTGTTGTAAGAGTGTTTCATGTGTTGTAAGAGTGTGTGTTTCATGTGTTGTAAGAGTGTGTGTTTCATGTGTTGTAAGAGTGTGTGTTTCATGTGTTGTAAGAGTGTGTGTTTCATGTGTTATAAGAGTGTGTGTTGCATGTGTTGTAAGTGTGTGTTGCATGTGTTGTGTGTTTCATGTGTTGTAAGAGTGTTTCATGTGTTGTGGGTGTTTTTCATGTGCTGTAAGTCTTGTACTAGTGTATTGTCATGTGTACCAGTGTTAGTGTGCAGTGGTGAAGGATGACAGTTGTTTCTCGTTACCCTGCAGGAGTGGGTGTGTGAGGAGTGTGGCGGGATATTGTCGCCGTCGGTGAGGTTGTCTGGAGGGACGCAATTCTATGGCAAGAAGCAGCCCGAGTGTGTCGTGTGCGGACCCAAGGCCACGGTTCGTCAGCTCCACCTCCCCTACGCCTTTAAATACCTGGTTGCAGAGCTCGCTAGTGTTGGCCTTAAGACCCAGCTGGAACTCCGCTCCGCCGAGGACATTATCACCTCCAAACCCATCGTCCAATCCCTTAATGAGACGTGAGCCTTGTCTCGGTGTTGTTGTCTTAACAAACTTCCAGTGTGGGGTAAGAGACTATTAATTAGCCCAGAGGTGAAGCCCTTACAGATCAGTACGGCAGCATCTTGAATCATGTCTTTCATTTGATATTTGTTGCCATTTTTCAGACAAATTGTTGTTTGACAGTGTTTATCTTTTACAGAGAATGATAGCGTGATTATGACTAAATAAACAAGTGAACAATGTATACTGTGTTTGTGTCTTCTTTGGAAAGGTCTTAGAGATTAAGGGAAACAAGCAGAACTAAATATATTGTTTATTTCGTTGAGTGACTTCAAGAACCCATCCGGATGAACGATGATAACGAGGTGATTTAACATGATTTATACACATGATGATGATCAGCAGCAGGGGGAGGCCTGTCGGCTCACTCTCCACATCACTTACTCCCGCACATCTACCTGCCAAGCTTTCACGGGGATACATTGCGCCCTGAATCCTCGTGGTAAAGGCCCAGCATCAGAGGGGCAGTAGAGGTTAATGAGCAAGTGAGACTGAAGCGCCCCCCCCCCCCCTAGTGTCACCGCCGTACGCCCTACCTCAGCTGGTGGGCGGGCGGACAGTGGCCCTTGGTCCTAGGCTACGCGAACAGAATTTTCAAACACAGTTGGTGAGATCAAATAGAAGACCAGCATTACTTGGTGGACTCCTCCAGGTAGGCGATCAAGTCAGCGCGTTCGTTCTTCTTCTTGAGGCCGGCGAACACCATCTTGGTACCTGGGATATACTTCTTTGGGTTGGTAAGGTAAACATCTAAAGTCTCAGTATTCCAAGTAATACCCTTGGCTTTGTTGGCGTCGGTGTACACATAACCCGGAGCTTGTCCAGTCTGGCGGCCAACAAGACCACTAAGGTTAGGGCCAGTCTTGTGCTTGCCGCCAGCCTCCACAGTGTGACACTGCGCACACCTCTGTACAAAGATCTTCTTGCCCTTGTTTGCGTCACCCATGATCTGTGGAAGGAATACCCGGTCAGCGATGACGTTCACCTTAATTCTAAACCTAGAATCTCGCAACAAAAAGTAAGATGTTCATTTAATAGGATGGGGCACTGACTCCGTCCATTTGCAGTACAGTATACAGTATAACGTAGAAAGAAACGATGAAATCATAATTCACACGCACAGTCCATCTGAATTGACAACTAGAAGCAAGTGATATGATAAAAACATTTTAGTTACGTTAACAGCTGCTCATTAAATTGCTGGTATTTATTATTTTCACTTAAAACAATTTTGACTTGTGACACATTTTTAAAGAAAAAACTGAGTCTTGTTTACTTGTACAGTACAGTATTATATAGATCATCTAATCAAGACTGCATAAGAAAAAAAGTTATTACTGCTGTCAATTATATAGTTAAAATAAACAAATCGTAAAAATTACTACATATTTTAAGTAAAACAATTAATATTGACATAATGAATATCCAGCTTTTCGTTACTTACTGTATATCGTTACTTTGATCAGTGCAAATTTAACTGTATTTGCAGATTTAACTGTAAATGTCTATTCACCATCATTCATTTGAACTTTTCCTTCGGGTCTTTTATTTCAATGAGTTAACGTTTGATTTGGGTTTTTTCTATTTACTTTATAACCCGCGCAAAATAATAAATTGAGTGTATAGACCTCATACTGCTTTATATACCCTTTATTTCACATTTTGTTTACTTTCAAACGTTCGCCGACTACCCAGTACCCTTGTTAAATATTTCAACATCCATCCTGGCACACTGATTCCTATGCACGTGCCAACTTTTGCTCTTAAAGTCAACTATATTCTTTTCTTTTTTTTTAACATATATTCCATTCTAGTTCGGTACCTTTACAGTAGGTATCGTAAGCTTAATAAAAATAGTATTATTGTTGTTCATCTATTAACAGTATTGCCTCAGTTCATTTTGTACCTTGCGAGTCGTTTTGTCCTTGTGAGAGTTTCGTCATGCCGGCAGCTAAATATACTGTACCCCCTAGAAGAGCACACGACCAGCCCCACCCTTCTTGGCACGACCCACACACACCATCCTGTCTTCATACCAACATGATGTCTCCCTATAGGTTTCTTCCAGCTCAGAATTAAAAGTAATTTGACCTCTTGTCATTAAATTTTCTGGTTTAGAATATCAAAGTTCATCGATATTAATTCAGTACCGTAAATTGTATATAATTATATAAATATACCACCGCAACAACACGACTTAGGTTCAATCAATCTGTGCATGTATGAATGGACGAATTTCTCCAAAATAGTGCCCCCAAAATTAAAATACATTAATAATTACATAATAGACCGAAATCTGTTACAGTTAGCACGATTTTAAGCTATAGTGGGATGAAGTGATTATCGTCTTTGGGTTACTACTGGTTCAACGTCAAGTTTACATGAGTATAGCAGAGTTAATTTAAAATCAGTTTTAGTTATCAACAGTTGCGTTAACGTAAATGTGTCGCGCGTCCGTCGCCTCGTGTGTAGAGTAGTTAGTGTAGCAGCTTGCCTTACAGAGCCATCAGATTTGTCCCGCTTATAATTATTTTCTTTTTGTTTGGCATGAGATATTTTATATTTTGTTGAAATTTTTATTTAAAAAAAAACGGGTGTAATGCACAGATTATTTTCCCAGCGTAATAATTAAGTGCTGGAAAAAGAATTGTTGCCCCGACATAGTCTGACGCTAACATATATCACATTAATGTATCTAACAAAATATAATATTATAAGTTATTGATTTTGGTAAATTAATGAGACATTGTGGCGGTCTGTGTAGCCCTCAGTTTAAGCCGGGGGATTATTACAATAAACAACTTCTCCACTAAAATCAAGATATCTTTCGCCTTGGCTTAATGATTGTTATAATTGCATTGTAGATTATATTTACACCACTATAAAGATTTAGTTGAAGCCTCGCGAGTAAGGTACCGACACCAACTCTGAACTGAAGAAAACAGGTGTTTATCGCATTATTCATGAATGGTTCAACATGTCCGCTATACTTGTAGTAAGTGACCACTGTGGAGGATCCGCTTGAGTCACTCGCCCAATGAACCATTAGTTGTCGCCGGTTCTCAACCCGAGGATTCAATTTCACTGACAGACACTCGTATGCTCTTTGGTTCTTCTGACGTCACTACAGGCTGAGGCTTCGCCACACTACTCTAACAACTGTCGCCACACTGCACAAGTAACATCACAATAAACTCACTATTACAACAGACTACGTACTTGTGTCGGTGAGATGCGGGTAAAGCTGTTCCTTGGATGAATCTGCTGCCTTCTTGGTCACTCCCGGGTGGATATATATACTGTGCAGCAACTCCCCCCCCCCGTAGCCGAGGGGGGGGGGTGCAGCCAAGGTGGCACAGTCTGCCATCTCTTATATTACTAAAATAACAACACTGAAGCAATGACCAGACAGTTACTGGGGTCACTTGATAGTGTTATTTTTAATTAATACAATGTCTACTTCTCCCATTACTGAGTATTGACGAAAATAAGTTTTGTAACATTGATGGAGAGCTCTGACTTTTTAACTTACGCAAGTGTTCTCCTTCACCCTACAATTAAAAAAAAAATCAACGCAAATAACCTATAGTTACTTTTCATAAACTTGTATTTGCTGGTCTTTATAGTTAAATGTAAAGATAGTCACACCTGCCTGTGAGTAACGTAGGGTCTCTTTGTGCGTTACGTATGCATTATTCTTTCACATGCCGAGTTGACGCCATCAAGTGACGTCACACGCCAACGTCACAGCCAGTATTTTCTGCAAAAATCTTTGCCTCCAGAATTAACAGTTCTACTCCCACCAATATCGATTTTCAAATAAACTGTTTTGTGAATAGATCAGTTGCCGAATCTCGTTTTAAACCTGATTGGAAAAAAAATCAGTTCAGTCAATTTTTGCATCTGTTCTTCATGGAACATAAATAACAACACTAGCTTGGAGCTTTAAATGAGTACCGCAGCTGCGTCTCACACCTCCCCGCGACCTGTTACGAAACCAAATGATAGACGAGACGTGAGCCACTAGTATGGGGGAATAATTTCTGATATTTCTTAGTAATTATTATTTTGCCACTTTTTATTTAGTATTTTAATGCTAATAGGCGTTAGGTGGACTTTTATATTATAACATACATAAATGTAAACACCAAGTGCTCCGACAAGAATGACATGAATTATAAAGGTCAATGTTTATCGCCTTAATTCAAATAATTCCTCAATGCCATCAGTGTCGGTCATATCTCCAGGGTTGTGAAACAAGATGCCAGCCTCCGTCACGCTACTCAAACCCCCATACCCGAGCATGACGAAAGCTTGTGTGTCCTGAAATAGCAGGGAACCTCCCGGCGACGTGCGAGACTCGCTGGCCGAGTTATGTTTTGGCCTGCAAGACAGTGTTGTACCTGCTGCTGCCAGGCTTCCTACCGCATCTCCTAGCGAGTTATCTGCGTGTGTTAACTTTACGATATCCCATCTCCACGTGTTCCTAAATCCATTACACACCACTGCATTTGCCTGCAGACATAACTAAATTTACCTATATATCCCCAAGTGTTCCTGTAACTTATATGTTGTGCATCTGTCCACAAGAAACTCGCAGGCGCTTCCCACTTCACCTCCCCCACAAGAAAAGTGAATAATTGGCTAAAAACTAATAAGTCGAGTAGTTACTAAGACTCTTCTTTATGACAAAGTTAGTAATATCACTGAAGAGCCACCTGTGACAGAAAAACACCGCTTCAGCTGTATCATATCCACCAGTTGTTCCACCCTGCTCGAGTAGTGACCGAGACAATGCAAGCTCGTTGACGCCGCCTTGCTATAAACGTACTGTATTTCATTGCTTACATTCCTGACAAATGGTTCGTTGAAAAATAAATAATTTACTGTACGCCAATGTAATCTTTATTTATTTAAATAACTCAGGTGAAATTTGTGTAGTCAGTTTGTGTTCATTCGTTGAAGAGTTGCAGTTATGTTTTCCTCCCTACACACTTTGTTTACTATACTTTCTAGTCTCCGAAACATTTAGATAAACGTTTCCTCCATTGGAAGGGAATATATATATATATATATATATATATATATATATATATATATATATATATATAATTGAAATTAAAATAAATTACTACTTTAAAAATCACATGCGGTTAATTAAGTACCTGTATTGCAGTTTAAAGCTTTCTCGTTGCCAGAGGTTACTAGTGCGGCTATACAACAGCATACGTCTTATATTATTTTGCAATAAGGCGTACACATTTAAATTAAAGTGTAATAAATAGCAAAATTATTGTTACGTAACAACCGAACATCACTTAGAGATTTAATGTGATTGTTTTATCTTGCTTGGGTTTGGAAACGTGTGTTAGGGGTGGGGAGAGGAGGTTGCGTCACTCGTGGGTCACGTGATTCAGGGGACGAGTGGTGATGCAACACTGCTTGACGTGTTCTAACTTCTAACAATCTTAATACGTATCCAGCCTACGTATGGGAAGGGAAATTAATAATATGGGCTGGCGTCAGTTTTGTAAGCATATTTTCCTTAAAAGGTAAAGTGTCGATCTTGCGCAATATATTGATTGCATTGTGTGGATTTTTCGGTTTAGTTCAACAATTTGTATTTTCCCGGGTCACCATTCATCGACCTCGAGGCCTATTACAGTGTGCGTTGTGGAAATAACGTAATATGGTAAGGGATTCTGTGTCGATAAATCTTCATTTTTTTTCTGGATTCTAGATATTTATGGTATTTAATGGTGGGAAGTGGCTCATGTAGTTAGCAATATATATTTTTTAATGCATGCACCACTAATTATTAACACGAAACACTTGTTATTTAAAATCCAGTAAGCGTCACCCCACTTCCATGAGTCCCATGTGGACGATCGTGTTTTATGATATTTTTGTCATCCCACTGAGACAATCAAGTTCGTTACATCGTGTCCAAGTGGGATGTAAGCATCCATTGCCCATTTCGATGCTGCTGAGTGCAAAGATTGACCAAAAAGTAACCTACTAGTGCAATTTTGTAGCATTTATATGAGGTACTGTTTTTTTTTAGTGTCGAAGAGGGACAGGACCAAAAAATAAATAAAAATGGGACATGTAAAATCTTTGTGTTGTAAACTTAAACCCGAATTTTCATTTATATTTTTGTAACAATAACAGAATCTGAACTGGGAACCATAACACAAGAGCAGCAACTTTCACTAAGTACTATACACTATTTTCCTGTTTGCCACAAACACGAGGGTAGAAAAACCAAAGCTAATTATTTAACTGTACATGTATTTCAATGAAGTAAATGGAATGGCAGTTTTTACAGTCAGACAAGTCAGTCGATGGGGCATAACATTTTGTAATGAAAATAAATTAAAACCCTTCGACACATAGCCAGAAGCCCTGGAGGTGAGGAGAGGGAGGAGACTCGTTTACCCCCTTCCCTCTCCTCGACCAACCAGTGAGATACAAACAGACGAGCATTGTATGTACAGGGGGGGGGGGGGACTAAATCGGACAAATATTCAGAATTTTCCACGTCTATTTAACACACGAGTCACTGACTTGCACTTTCAGTTCATTCTTTGAGGGACTCAGATCCCCTGATCACGTCATTGCTATCTATGTAGCGGTGGAGACCTCCAGGTAGGCTATCAAGTCGCTACGCTCCTTCTTTTTCTTCAACCCAGCAAACACCATCTTGGTGCCTGGGATGAACTTTTTGGGATTGGTGAGATAAACGTCTAGTGTTTCACAGTTCCACGTGATGCCTTTAGACTTGTTGGCGTCGGTGTACGTATAGCCAGCAGCTTGACCAGTTTGGCGGCCAAAGAGACCATTGAGGTTGGGACCAGTCTTGTGCTTACCGCAGGCCTCCACAGTGTGACACTGCGCACACCTTTGTACGAAGATCTTCTTGCCCTTGTCCACGTCACCCATGTTGTCCTCTGGAAAAAATAAAGAGCTATTAGGTTACAATGAAAGATTTTTATCAGTAATACCGTACCTCAAGTGGCAGCACAACCCATGATATCTCTATTACATCCCAAACAAAGAATACTGTATTCACTTAAAAGATGGCAGATTTTACCCACACTGCACTCTGGTTTTATCCTATACCACAAAAAGCGGGTTCACTGGATCACTGTTACACTCCAGGAAGTAAATACTGTAGATGTAGTATGTTGGAAAATTACACAACTAAGTTTAAGCAGTTACTAGATAAATTTGTATTCACAGCCAGGTTAAGGGACAAACTCACAATACTACCACCATAATGGGATTACTGCACCTATGCTTAATATCTTACACTGCTTTGTATTTACAGGATATATTCATGAACACAAGACTGTTACTTATGGCGTATAAAATACAGTACATCGTTACTGATTACACATTATGCATTTCACTGTCAAAATTTAATACAGGTATCATGTGAAACAACCTGACCTGTGTATTAATAATAAAATACATGTACTAAACAATATTGTATTAAAAGGCACTGGACTTACAATTATTAATGGCATGATTTTTTTTATATCAAAGACAAACTGTAAACTTAAATTAATATGTAGCTAAAATCTACATTACTATATCATGATCACCACTATACTGAAGATTTACATGAAAACCTTTCAGGCATTATATATATATATATATATATATATATATATATATATATATATATATATATATATATATATATATATATATATATATATATATATATATATATATATATATATATATATATATATATATATATATATATATATATATATATATATATATATATATATATATATATATATATATATATATATATATATATATCACAAAGATTATATGTTATGTACTGTGCAGTATATGAGGCATATAGAGCACAAAGGGCAAACTCACCATAGTAACTTTGAGATAATTGCCCTTAAAATTTAAGTAATTTCATTTTTGTATATTAATTGGGAATTTCAATGAATCATACATATAATTATTCATCTCAAAAAGCCCACTTGGAAGTTCTCACCATCTGGTAGCCTCTATCATATCCTTGGGGAATACCTGTACACAATAAAAAAAAATTGGGAAAGTGGGGAGTTTGCCTTTTGTGTTCTCTATCCCTCATATAATGTGCAGAATATGCAGATAACCATTTGAAAACAAACACCATCATTCATCTTTACTATTGTCATAGATGTGTTCTGCTACGGTCTTCCCCGGGTCTTTTCTGATTATGTACAGTACTGTGTCCCAAAAATATATCTAGTACGTAAATATGTTTTTGAATGTAGATTGTCCTGCCGATTCCAAAAATATAAATTATTTGGCCGATAAAGTTTTTTTTAAATACCGTACCTAACTTTTTTTTAAAATAAGTTCTAATATATACATATATATCGATAAAATCAAATCACACAGGGAAAAGGGGGGAAACAATATATACCCTGTATATCTATATTTGGAATCTGCAGGAAAACTTGCATTAAAAAAAAAATTGGCGGGGGGTCAGTACTGTATATGAAACCGAAAAGACCCTCTTCCCCTTACACATCTTAATACAGTACCATCAAAATAAGTCTACTTTACCTGTCACCACACAAACCAACATTAACCCACCAGGTACAATACAAAAATAATCTGAATACTGTACACTGTAGCTTTAAGTTTGTAATTTTTTTCCACATACTGTAAATACAGTACAGTACTGTACTTATCAAGACTTTCTCAACACAAATTTAACGCCTTTACTGTGAGGATGCGACTTTTCATATTTTATTCGGCCAACACCAGATGCTTTTATTCAGCACAAAGGGGACCCCATATACAAGGGATTAAGGAATGAACTTATTAGAAATACTGTGCAAAGCAACATTTTGCAATACAATCTTTACATAATTTTGGATACGATGTTCAATCTGTTTTGTTTGGGTTAAAGTAAAATGTTACTTTCCAACTGCAGTAATGAACATACTATATAATAATTCATAATTCAAACAATAAAAATGGAAACTTTTAACCAGGAAAAATATCTACGTATTCTCCCGATCAATGCCCCACAACTGTTTGGTTTTATTATATGAATGAAAATTATACATGCATACATATACACACCGTCCTTAAGTGTTTCATTACTTGTTACCTAATTCTAACTTTACCCAACTCATTCAAGCTGATAAGTGACGAAAATTATAAAAAAAAAAAAAATCACGGAAGGAATTACCTAATGCCTTAACTAACCATATGTATTTTGCTCTTAACCATAACCAATTCAGAGCCTTTACCTAAACTTCTCTTGCTCTAAGCTTGCGGAAACATAATACAGTACTGTACTTTCCTACCATCTGTCAGTCGTTTTATAACCCCAATAGAGAAAAGCTTTACACAGCTTTCTTGGATTGCTGTTGGTCAAATGTACTCACTGTTTACTAGTCCTCTCTTGGTACAATCTGAACCAATGTGAACTATTAAGTCGTATTTATTTAATACTTTGGACTATAAGATGCAATAATCCAACCTCGCCCATTTTTATATAACACTTGGCGCGACGAGATGCCTTGGGGATGTTTTGTCCACTAAAACATTTAAATATTGAACTAACAAATACATCGTTTAAGCGGGATTACCGATACTTTAAATAGCCACGCAAATATTGATCCCATGAGCGCGTAGCCGGCCACAGCTGACTCAAGTATTTCGTCATCACCACACCACGGCATCCTGCCAGACCCTCACACTTGTTCCATATTTCTTTCCGTAACTACCACTCCTAATTCCTCGCCACCGTAATCAAATCGTCACTGATTTCTTATTTTCCATTCCACAACAATAATTTAAGTTTCTTCCATACAAAATACGGTTTTAATACTCACTTTAGTTTGGAGTGCACGTATGTACGCCCAGCAAGACACCAAGTCAGTGGTTGAGAGAGCTATCACCTATCGGACGCGGCTGGGTCCTCGGCGGAGACTGAGACGCCTAAGCTGATTGGGCTATCTCAATGAATGGTATTTGCAACGTGAGCGCTGATTGGTGGAATTCTTCCAGCGAAAACCTGGAGCTACACGGAAAACGGAGGGATTGCGTAAACTTTTATCAACATGCTAAATTTTCTTAACAAAATAAGAAGACTTTTTGATTATGTAAAGCAAACATATAAAAATATTAAAAGTATTTAAATAAAGAATATTTTACATAATATGGATGATACTAATTTTTTTTAAATAGAAAACCAATTCAGGGATAACTACAGCATAATCGCCTCCCTATATCATTGTTGGCCGGAACTTCACGACATTAAGTAATTTGACCAGTGTTTGTGTCGAAAGCAATCCATCAAACACATAATAACGCAGGAAAATAAAATTTCAACAGCAATTATATGTAAAAGGAACAAAACAGACAGTATCGTGGCCACAATACATGTCTACGATAGCTCTTACCACAAGCACAATGTATGTCCACCAGCAGAACAGATTTTACGATTGGGTAGAGCTGGTGCTTTTATACATAGAATGATTAATGTTGATGTTATAACTAAGGTATTATTTCTAAGTTATTAACTGCAAAAGTCATCAACAATTAAATATAACTCTTGAAGTACAGCAAATCTTAGTGATGAAATACAATGCACTTAAGCGTTGATGTACAGTAAATCTAAGTAGAAAGATATATAATTATATATATGTACGATAAAATAATGTTTAAGGATACAAATTATTTAAATACTCACACAGACTACTTTTTCATCAATGTTGGAGTGCCTCAAGCCTACTCTTACCCACTTCCTGATTCATAGTTCATATTACTGACCTCTCCATCCCCTGGCATTACTTATTCTTTTGATGATGAAACTAACCTACACAGAATTCTGATCGTACCACTGAACACAAATATTAAGTCGATAGCTCATTGGAGTTTAATTTGCCTGGTTACAATGAATATCACCAAGACACTATCACAACACCCCAACTGTACCACCCACCAATGCCAATATCTTTGGACTTAGTATAAACGTCTCTTAGATTCACATTTCTAATACTGCTAGGAATATTAAAAAGTGGACTCTTTTTCCCTCGGACCTGTTCATAATTGTTCTCGCGAGAAGTGATGTACCACACACATATTTCCTGTTATTAGATAAAATTCAGTAAAAAAAAACATTCACCACATGGACAGCCAATCTCTTAAATCCACTTCGGGTCTCCTTACTCTCTTTTTTACAGGTCTCTTCATGGCTACAGCGTCTATGAAAAACAGTCCATCATCCTCTTATCAATTCCAGTCGCAACACATTACTCTTCATCATATTACCTCTACCCAGGAGATTAAATTACTTAAGCGTTAAATCATTTCCTTCATCATATCTTCCGTTTCACATCTACGGAACCACCTTCCTCTCATGTCTTTCCGTCCACACACAACTCGCAACTCTTTAAATGTGATGTCATGCACTCACCTGTCAAAGCAATTGATCATGCATATTACTTCATATTTTGTCCATGGTGTACTTGACACGCTTAGCTTAAATATGAATAACATATTAATGATATTAGTTATACTAACCTTCAAAGGACACTGTCACGTTCACCTCCTTAGTCCATCACACAGTTTAAAAGAAGTTTAGAAGGTGTTAGATTGTTGTCGTTATTTTGACAGGTATACAGTGTTATTTTTCGCATTGAGTTTAATAAAACAGAATTTAAGTAATATTTTTCACTTGGTTATTTAAAAAAGTATAATGCCATCACCGCGAATTTGAGGGCGTATGCTAGTAACATGGTGATAATTAGATTCACACAGGTAATGTGAATTCAACTCAAATTTCAATGTGTTCCTACATCTTAGATTACTTTCTTTCACTTGTTTATGCTAATTTATAGCTAAAAAATGGGTAAATAATAATGTGAATCATTATACTGTATATAAACCCCGCAAGGTTGGGCTGTACAGTACGTCTCTTGGTGGCGATCCTGGCATTTTTGGTGACCATTACAGTAATTAAATTGGATTCGTCGAAAACATTTTCATTGGTATAAGCAGCTTAATTATTTACAGTGCTTTTGATGATAGGTAAATGCATTATATGTAAAACTCCATTGTCACAGCAGTAGTTTTCTACTCGAGCAGTACATAAAATTACATTACGATTTCGATATTGCGACACTTCCTATGCCACCGACACCTTCATCAGGGCCTTTCATATTATACCTTCATTATATCGGACTGTACTCCACACATATGAGAACTCTTTCCCCACAACGTAACATGCCGCATTAACATACCTTCACATTTAGTTTTCGTAGGCGCCATGGTGGCCAGAAGTCCCTCCTCTGTGGTGTCAAATGGCACACTGGCCGACCGTTTTATGTACTGTATATGCTTGAAACAGAATGTAGATTATCAAGTTACCGACTCACGTTTCCGGTCTAACACTAACCTATTACAGTTTCTTTCGTTTTCTTTACGGCAAGCTGGATTATTCATGACAACAGTACACCAACGTTATACAAATGAACCGTATTATAACTATTATAGTTTATGTTTTAAATCTTTATTGGGAATGAACATACATATAAATAATATGTCAAAAATGTCAGTGCTATATAGATTGTTTAACCATAAAATCATAAAAAAACCTCTAAATAATCCACCATATCGTATTTTTAACTGGTGAAATCGTACGCAACACATCCACCTTCAAAGCTAGTAATTTGAACTATAAGAAAGTATATACCCGAATACAATCTTCCACTAATGAAAACAAATACGCCCCCAGAAATCCCAGATAGTACCATTTTCTGCACGTTATTTCGTTTCATTACTGTCATCCTTCAAGGGTTTTCGAGGTTCTTAACTTGTAACAATAAATACTCGAACTCAAAGTATTTGTCTACTACGTCATTTGTTGCTATATTTGTCAGTTCATATTTTACAACCGTCCAATCAGATTGCAAAATGTCATTTGTTGCCCTTCTTACGTCCCCCACCATCTGAAAAACCGTAGTTAATGTGCCCCTGATGGATGGGACGAGCCAGGTATATGCTGTATTAACTTACACATTGAAGTAACTACAATAGACAATACAATTAAAGAATTCACCATCTCTCTCTACCTATCTATCATCTATTACTAATCAGCGATAACAACCAAAAATGGTAATTACCTCATTATTGTAGTCAGGGAAGTAATTCGTCTATTTTTCCAGGTAATGTTTTCTGAGTTAAACGCGTTATTGATTTGAAAAGTATTTTATTATTCTTAGATAGAAATAAATACGTTATTACTAAATTTGAAGATTTTTTTTTATGATACAATTGAGCATATCAGTAATGTTTTGTTAACATTGGTAAAGTTGGCCCGTTCAATGCCTCCGAAGAAGAAGCACTTGGAATACATTCGTATTTATACATATTAAAAAAAAAAAAATTCTTTATTCATTTTTATATCACTAATAAATTAATTAACCCTAAATTTTTATTCAGATGTGTATGTACGATCAAGGATTGATTTTTAATTCTCATTTAAAATCGGACACGGTTATTGGTGGGAGGGAGAGGCTATTTAAATAGTTGTATCTAGATTAAATTGCTCATTTGTCCATAGAAGGCTGCCGACTGCAGGTTGACGTTCTAACGCACTGCTCGTTCTAACGCACTGCTCTCCATATTTACGGTAGGTTTTATTTTCGATTTATGCAAGTGGTTAAATTTAATATGCGTCTGCATATGTTTCGATACATTAGGGCTATTTATTTATAGATTGGCGGCCATTTTTAAGTATTCCGGGCAGTAAGTCCGAAGAGCACTTCCGAGTATCAAGTTAAGTTTAGTAACCTGACAAATGAATTCGTCGAAGTCAGCTTGTATACTCGACCAAAGATGCACTGATCTCACCCAGGGTCTCGTACTCGCAATTATGCCTGCCATTATTTGGTAAAGTAAGGCTGTATGTAATGATTGTGATTGGTGGATCTATTTTCCGTTATACCACTGTCAGGATAAATATTAAACAAACCAAAGGTATTATTTTTATAATAATTAACTATTCATCATCATTTTAGATAATGAGAAGTTTCCAAATGCTCGTATATTTGCTTAAATAATGAAGAAATTTTGATGAGTCTTGTGGCAGCTGTAGTTGTTTCTTAGTGTACTGACCACGGGCGTACATGCTAGTTAACGTAAAATCAAACGATTCATATTACGCTCAATAGCCCATAAAATATGTAGCTATAAATTCTTTATTGAGTCCCCCCAGTTGAGACGTCCGTTTTCCCACCGCTTCAGTATGCCTGAGACTTCCGTTTTCTCTCGTGTACCTCAGCGACTATGATATCTCTTGATATCTCATATGATGTTCGGAAATTTGAAATTGCGAGTGAATGCATATGTTTTACATTCAGTTAGATATGTCTACTTACAGATGAAACATTCGAGATCCCTTGTGAGTGATGTTTAAAGTTTCAACTGTATTTACTTTTAGTAAAATTGTCAAGTAAGTTCAGTGTAGAGTTTGCCAGTCAGAGTGATGAATCCTGAACTCGTCCTTAGGGACGCTATGAGTTCCCAATTGTTGCTGAAGTTAGATCATTTTGACTCTCAATCATCAGAGAATCTGATGATCACATTGAAATTATTTTCAGGTTTGTATTGTAGAAAGTAATTAATCTCCTAAAATAATATGTCAGTTTCTTATTGTCCTAAGATCTAACAGCAAACTATCAGTAGGCCCTTGTTCATGCTTTGATGAATTTGTAAGAAAACGTTGTCACCATGTGTGATTGATGTCAATTTCAGTATTGCCTTACAAGCTTGAACTCTGATTAGATTGTAAACAATAGACTGGAGATTGATCTCACTAATGACACCCGGGCACAGGTCACTGACCCACATCGGGGCTTGGGGGGGAGATGAAAGTTGTCATATACCTGACTTCATATTAATAAACCATCTTTATTTTATGTTGGGAGTATCATTATCCCTGCCTTATTTTACCTTTGTTTCTCCCTATACCTTGGTATACCACTAATTACAGTAAATTCACGTGTCGTAACCCTGGAGCCATGGCACCACAGATAAGATATTCGGGGGTATATATGAGAAGAAAGGTAACAAAGAAATAGTTAACATAAGGAATTAATAAAGCAAGAAATTAAAAGAAGGTTGGGAGAGGAGAACCAATTAAGACATAAAGACAAGAAGAGAAGTAGGTAAAAAGAAAAAAAGAAAATTAAATATAATTACAACACCTTTCCTACAAATTGGTTACCAGTAGTGTATTATATAAATTGAAAGAAAATCCCCTATATTAACATTTTCTAATGTCATTATTGTTATAGAAATTTCTCACAGGAAATATCATGATGGTCACCAAACCTAACTTACTGTATTATACCATAAACGCCTTAGATGAGAAGAAACCTAGATTAGGTTACCTAGGTAAAATTTCCTACTCCTGATTAGATATAACATAAAGGTTACTCTCATATCTGTGGTTAAAACCTTGGCAGCCTTACCTAACCTAACCTTGATTTCCAATTATCTTTGTTAACAGAGACTGGCATGACAGTCTTAATCCAATTTGTAATTTTTATCATGTATTTGTAGGCCACAGCACTCTGTGATAATGCATATACAGTACTCAGATAAGCAACTGTTTACTAATGGTATGCTTTACCAAGTGATATATTACAATTGTTTTTACTTTTTAGGGAGGACCAAGCTGTGTACCACCTCTAACCGCAACAGAAGAAGCCATGGCTGGTTAAATTAGTGACGTCGCCAATCAGGGATGTTTGTTTCAGAAGAAGAGGAATTTATTTTCCAATTGTAGCCTCAGAGATGGATGATTAGGTTAACCAGTTGTGCGCGTGATGAAATTTAGGTTAGGTTAGATTTTATTGCATTCTGTGTAGGATGTAGAAGTAAATGCCTTACAACAACTTAATGCATCAGTAGAGGTATGGGGAACTGAGCATAAAAAAGTAGATGGCCTCGGCATAGGTTTGTTTTATCTCCTTGTATTACACATATGATTCAAATATGTAGCAATTATGGTCTATTTTGTGTTTATATTTTTTTTAGGAAAATCTTCGATGTTATTTACTTAGACTTTAGCAAAGCGTTTGACAGAGTACCGCATCAGAGGCTTCTAGGAAAAGTTAGGCTCATGGTATCTTGGGGAACTTTTAAATTGGATAAAATCATGGCTCACCTATAGAACACAGCAGGTCAGCGTAGATGGTGTTAATCTAAGTGGGGCTGTGTAACCAGTACGGTTCCCCAGGGGTCAGTACTAGGCCCACTCTTGTTCATAATCTACATAAACGATCTAGAATCTAGATACTGGGATCAGCAGTGACGATAAGCAAGTTTGCGGATGACACTAAAATAGAGCGGCAGATTACCGTATACTCCTGTCATAAGTCATGTACATGTTTATTCTTAGCGGCCATTGCATAAATATACATGATTGTCTGCTTAATATTTATAATTTATTTATTCACGAACAATGATGTAACTTAAATAAAAGAAGAGGCAATACCATGTTGTACAGTACATGAAATAACATAAATAAGGGACTTAGGTGGTAGATAAATATAAGTTAAGAAAACATAAAGCAAGCGGGCAGGTAGACCTAATCTTCATGATATCCACAAAAAGTAGAAAGCAGTAATAAAAAGGCTAAGTTTCAGCTTTTAGTCTTGAATATATATTACATGTTTGAATGTTCTGATAAGAATCTCACACGCACTATAATTTCTTTAAATTTAAGACAGCATACAGCTTGCTAACACTTCCTACTACGATTGGCGAGATATACTTTAAACTTTGTGATAGTTGACAACTGTAATCAAGCTGGGTGGAAAAGTTAAGTGAAACCAGAGAAAAAAAATGGGAGAATACATATTCTATTTGGTTTGTGTTGTAAATAAAGGGAGATACTGTACTGTATATCCATCCCATTTAGATTGTTGCGAAAGAAACATATGCAGTATAGCCCCAAGTAATAATACATAAGCATCCCAATTTGGAAAAACAATGTACAGTATTGTAATCTAAACCTACAACCCAGAATGCAGCCACTGTACCCCACGTAGGTATAAGCCCAGGCAACTGTACATTAGTGATAAAATAAATTAAATTCCTACCTGGATGTGATTCAGCTTACCTGTTGGTCCGCTACACCGGGTCACGGGCTCACGGGTGCAGACGACTCGTGGACAGTACGGGGACTGCACGCTCACATCAGCACTCCAGCGAAAGTTACAGTTGGATAATCTTGTGGTGTCGTCTGTTATAGGTCTATACAACATGGAGGGTAATGGTCACGCCAAGGACAAAAATCTCTTGAGAATTGGTTCAAGGGATAGTGAGGTAAGTTAATATATATGTTGAATTATACCTCATAACACCTGCTGGCGGCGGTGTTATTGAGCAACCAGGTAAACTTTTCCTACCTAGATCACTGTTCAATATTGTCTCTAACCAAAGGTAACTCTTGGAATAATAACTTTTTTATCGTTATTGGTATTTGTGTAGTATTAACCTTGTTTTCATACCTTGCAATTTTATAATATTAATGGTAAATTGTATTGGCATGTATTGGAAATAACGGGTAAGAGTGTCTTGTGAGCGTTTAAGAACGGCCTTTCTGTTGTTGGGCAAATCTAGAGAATGGATTTATACTTTTATACTGAATAACTGTATTAGTTTTGTGTGAATGGTCTCCTCAAAGGTCCAGCGAGTGCTGTAGCCCGTGGGTTCAGTTTTAGTACCGGAGGAATGTGCAATGTGCGGTCCGACTAATTACCCAAATGTAGCCGCAATGAAGTCTAATGATGGTCGTACAAGCGTAATTCGGGCTGTGAATCACTTCTCGATTATTATTTGGTGTCAGTAAAAAAAAATTGGTAAACTTAATTTAATCTGAGTTGTGTTGTTAGGTTAGGTTAGGTTAGGTTAGGTAAGGTAAGGTAAGGTACATGCACTTGATCTATTAACTCAGATTAAATTAAGTTTACCAATTTTTTGTGACTTCGTGACACCAAATACTAGTCGAGGTTAGGTTAGGTACATGCACTTGATCTATTAACTCAGATTAATTTAAGTTTACCAATTTTTTGTGACTTTGTGACACCAAATACTAGTCGAGAAGTGATTGGCAGTCCGATTTATTCATCTAGGACCATTATTTGACTTCATTGTGACTACATTTGGGTAATTCCTCGCTCCGTCGGTACATGCACGCGATCTATTAACTCAGATTAAAGTAAGTTTTCCAATTTTTTGTGACTTTCTGACACCATATACTAGTCGAGAAGTGATTCGCAGCCCGATTTACGCTTGTACGACCATCATTTGACTGGTTCTGAATCGGGGCTCACTGGGGTTGAATAGCTCCGTGAAGCAGTTTCTTTCCTGGTGTCAAGTTGGAGTAAGTGATGGTGATGGTGGTAGAGTGAGGAGGGGACAGAGCTGTCACATAACCAATAAAATTACCAACAATATTAGTTGTTCAAAGTGGGCAAGGCCCACGGAAATTGTATGGAATAATATATACATATATATATATATATAATTTTTTTTCTCTTTCACTTTATATAGGACTCAGTATATAAATAGGTGTTGGCAACTTCTAAATATTTACCATGGTAGTTTTATTTTATCTACAATTAATCATTTATGTTGTTGCAGGAGAAAGTCTATACTGTTCATGTGGGGTGTTGATGGTACAGTGGTAACACTCTTTTTTCTCACCAATATATCAGGGGTTTGAATCTGGACACATGTCAGAAGGGTGTTGTTTAATGTGACACAAACAAACATCAGATTTCCTGGCCTCTGGTTTCCTTTTGTACTAACACTGGCTAGACCAATTGCCCAAACAGCTAGTAAGCTGAGAAGTGGTAAAATTTATATGATAAACACAAAATTGCTGAATTGATAATAAAAGAAATTGGTGTAAAGTCTTGTTATTTTTTTTATAATACCTGTACAGGTATTATAATATAAGCTGCTCCTGGTTTTTTGCACTTATTTAACTGAAATGTTTAATGTCTCTTGGCACAAGCATAGACAAGTACAGTAATGACTGCTCCCCGCATCACGGAGAACTGTATTGAAGATTGTAAAATCAGAAGTAGAGAAGTTGCAATTTTGTGGGGTACAGTACTTGGGTTGATACTTGTACATAACCATTAGTAACTCAATAAAAGACATGAAGTACTGTACAGGTATACACTGAACCCTTACTGTATGGATATTCTCAATTTGATATTTTGGGATGATACAGTATTTTTGTCAAGGTAGTTTTTTTTTAGAAAATTTTGTGATTGGGGGAAAATATCGAATAACGTACTGTAGTTCCAAAATCTTGTAGAAAATAAAACAATGCGACTTTCTTGATATACGTACTGTAATGGGGGATGTGTTCCTATGAAGAAACAACATCTTCCACTCGTCTACTTTCAATCCTGTAAGGGTTTCAAAGATGAAAAATTCACTGGTGCACACAAAACAAGATAAGAAAAAGAGTAGGGTATGTTTGTAAGCAAAATATTGTATGGCATGTATGAAATGCAGTCTGGAACCATTATAAAATCAAGGTAAAAAGAGAGAGTTGGTGCCCATGAAACTTGGATTTTGTTGAAAGATTATTCCAATATTTTTTTATGATAGTATGCATACTAATGATTTAATACAACATAGAATCATTATATTACTGGCACATTGCATGTCCATTACACGCAGTAGCTCTCGGGACAAGCCAGTTCGGCAACTACTGTATGGGCGTCAGTAACATTTAGATGATCTACCTACTGTACCTGTGTTAAAACTCAGCTTGTTTTTGTTAGCCATGGATTCCCATGAGCATCAGCACCCTAAGGAGTGTACAGTAGTTAATGGTAACCCAAATAAAAGTGTTAGTCTATAGAGAAAAAGAAGCTTTTAGGCAAGTGAAAGTAATATGTAGCAAGTTAGTGGATAAAATGGGTACTTTCTCTTGAATAATTGTCTTCAGTACAGTATGAGTAGTCAAGCTGATGTGGCTCACCAGGTTAGAAAGTCACCATGAGTTGCAAGTTTGTAGACGTGGATGAAGAGAAGGAACCTGAGGCCATAATACCTCTTCGATAGTGACAGGTGGTTTCAATTGTAAAAAAAAATATTTTCACTGTTGATTGATAAATGGGCCTGGTCATAATGGGTCTTAATTTAACCATTAAGATTGTGCCTATCCCCCATTCTAATGGTTAGATTAGGTTAGGGCCCTGAACATATGTTGTAGAACCACTAGCCTGCCTGCCATAGTATGTACACCCACTAAAAAAATGTTGGCACCCGTGTGATATTGTATCACTCCGTAAGGGTGCCGAATAATTTTTTATTGGGTGTACAACTTATTGGCACACATCGGGATGGCCGGTTTGTACTGTACTGTACACCCACTAAAAAATTATTCGGCACCCTTACGGCGTGATAATATGACACGGGTGCTGAATAATTTTTTAGTGGGTGTACACAATGGTTGCAGATGCAATTTGGCCATACTGTATATTCACTTAATAATGTAACTAATGGTAATTTATGTCCTTGTGTGCAGTTGGCGATGAAGCAGACTTACATGGTGAGAGATGCACTGCAGAAAGCAAATCCTCATCTGAAGTTTGACATTGGTGAGTGTCTATCACTGTACAGTATTTTATTTAACAAATATAAAAATCCAAGAAGAAAGTACACTACCCTGTAGATTGTCAATCTGAAGTGTATTATATATTTCACATGCAAATCCTGAATGAGTAAATCTTCAGAAATTTCAATTAGGGATGGGGTTAAATGTGGATAGAGGTCCTCTTTTTTTTTCAGTAGATAACTGAGCAACCAAAACACACCTTCATAGTATGTTTCAATTAATCTGAACGGAAGATTGATTATGGTAAACTGACTTTATTGTAGAAATAAAGAATAAAAAAGTCCAACTTGATGTCTTTTCAGTACTGTACAGTAGTCAGTAGCAAAATTTTTGAGTGGTGGGTTTGGTGAGAAATAAGCACCACTAGGTGCATTAAAATATGCTGTGAATCATAAGCTGTGGGACTACTCGTTACTCTGTTGTGCCTTGTGACGTTTGTAGAAGATCTACAAGTACTATACAGTACAGCATTTGTTTACTTGATTTGGGTTGTTTGTCATACTAAATTTTGTCATTGTTATATATATATATATATATATATATATATATATATATATATATATATATATATATATATATATATATATATATATATATATATATATATATATATATATATATATATATATATATATATTATTTCCTTTGTTATTCTTGCATTTTTTTTACTTTCTAGTGTCTATGAAGACTAAGGGAGATAAGATCCTGAATATGGCTTTGTCAAAGATTGGGAGCAAGAGCCTATTTACCAAGGAGTTGGAGGTGGCCTTAGAGGAGGGGGTGGTGGACATTGTGGTGCACTCTCTCAAGGTCAGTTCATCTCTGGCTCTGAATATCCTGGTCTGTGATCAATCAGTTCCATCTGCATCATTTAAGCATTTGCCTCTCACATTTCACAAAACTCAGGTGTTTAGTGGTATGTTTCTCTGCAGAGATATGAAGTGGGCTATTGCAGAGCATCGGTAAGCTATTCGTGCTCTGACCATTTTATAAAATTCTCAGTATCTTATCACTTACATTGGGTCACATGGTATGCTACTGTAGCTCTTCTAAATGCTTCTGCCATCTACATACACTTGTGGAATTCACTCATAGGTTCAAGTTTTGGAGGGTGTCTCCTTTAATTAAATTGAAAATGAGAAGAATGCAGTTCTTCTGAATCTTCGTTAAATAATAATTCCACTGCTGTATTTACCTTACATTTGCATGTGCTGTACTATACTAGTACAAAGAGCTGCTTGAATCATTTTATGCACTACAATTGTTAGACTTTTTTACAGGATATTTTACACCAGTTATGATTTGTGACAAAACTGTGTCCTGCATATACAGTACTGTAGCTATACTTTTACTTTTTTCACTTCACCACTGATCGGCATGTATGGTTTCAATTAATTTTTTTTATTTGATAATGCTTTGAGTAAATGAAGAAAGAAGTTTGTGTAAATGGAAAAAAGATCCAATTCCCAGTAGTAGAAGTTATTGTTAAATAAAAATGTGTTTAGTGGACCATGGATGATATTGCTGTGGACGGTTGAAAATTTAAATTGTAATTTTTTAATCGAGAAACATTTAGTAATAACCAGTTTAAAAGAATTTACTGCTTACAATAACAGTAAATACAAGTACCCTGTACTGCACTGTACAAATATTAGTACAGTACCTGTAATGTTAGAGAAATTGAGGAAAATTTTTAACATAATTGATATGATGGAAGTGTGTGTGTAGCAGTTAACCTAAATGTGAAAGGAAGAATCAAATTGTACATAAGATCAAATGATTTTGTTAACCACATTAAGAAGAGGATAACAATTTGAAATTTTGCATATTTATGTACACTCACCAAAAACTTCTTGGGCGCTATAAGCACTATGCAATCTGAAACCATTCCGAGATGACAAGAACCATTCTGCTCATTCTCACATCCATCGTGCCCAGGTGTTGAAGTTTTTGTTGAGAGTGTACCATTAAATACAAACATACTCTGATTTTAAAGTAGATATATAAAGACATTATATATTGTGAAATACAGTATGGGGAAATAGAACAGCTAGATGTGAAGTGAGAGAAACTGAGAAGAGTTACTATTTTAAAGGAGAGTGTCATGGTGTGGTGATCAGGGAGAAGGTTGCTCAGTGAGAGATCTGTGTTAGTTTAGTAAGCTGCTGTAGCGAGACTGGGCTTCAAGGTTACCTCAGAATACATAAGTCCTTGCCTCCATTGTTGTTTATATGATTGTGCATCCTGGTTTTTGTTGTAGATATTGTTTGAGTAACCTGAACTTATTTTCTCTTGGTTGCTATTTTTTTCTTCTTACATGCTTAGCACATTAAAGGCTGTATTTTGAAGGCTGAATGATGATGATCCACTTAGATTTGTGGTCAGCTGCCCTTCACTAGGTGAGTATAAGGTCACCTGGACCCAATTGACCTTGACCTAGTGGCTGGGATGAAACTGAATAATTACTGTAGTTAATCTCCCCAAAGACAACAGTAGCCCATAAGGGGAGGGGGGCCAATTAGAAGACTAGTTTTTATTTCACTTGGACTAGAGGAAGGAGATCAAGTAAGCCTTAGGTGACAGAAACAACGAAGTATCACTACAAGAGGATTGACACTAAACACGAGTACCTGCATTTACACCACACTTAAACAGATAGAATCTTTGCCTCATTATTTAAGAAAAATTTAGGGTGTTTTGGCTATGTCACAGATGGTTATATCTTGGCAAGATCTTTATGTTGACCTTGGGTTGGTATCCCTATGTGATCTGAAGTCAACTGTGCTTATCTAATAATGTACAGTATTATCACTCTGTTTATCTCTTAACATGACACAGCCAAATAAAAGATTACTGTACATAATTAGAATTTATTGGAGAGCAGATATTCCATGATAGAAGAATTTTGATCCTTGTTCTACTTCTACTTTTAATTTCAACATTCCACACCTGCTTCTGGCACATGCTGGATACTTATTACAGAAACCCTGTGCTGCTGTAAGATGATCTCCCCTATTGAAGTTTTTGGACCCTTTACTGTACACACTCATATTTTTTACAAGTACAGTAATATGTAGCTAAATGTTGTGTACACTCGCTCTAAAAAGTATCCTTACAATTTTGTGAGGTCAATATGACACAATGGATAAAGGATTTTGACAACCCTACTGAGGCAACAGGAGTCGTGGTGTTCATTTTGACATTCATCAGACCCCTCCATAATGTACTTGTCGTCTTCTTAGTTAATTATCCCAGTTAACATTTTCAATAATGCAGTTTAATCCATGTAATCCTTGCTGTTTGTCTCCAGATGAAAGTGTTTTTTTTTCTGGGTTTGTTATGATGTCCCCCACTCATACATTCAGTACATCTTAGATAAGTGGAACCAACTTGTAATCTTTTCTATCTTTTTTTATCTATTAATCTCCCCTAAATGAGAACAGATGATAGGTTCTTGGAGATCAACTTGAATCCAGTGTTATTATTGGACTTATTGAAAATTATGTTGATACCCTGTACAGTATACATTTTGCTGTTTTATTTGAAGAACTTAAAGGTCTGTGTTAAAGAGATGAAGATATGGTTATTTTTTTAGGATCTACCTACAATATTACCAGAAGGTATGGTAATAGGGGCAGTATCAGAACGTGAGGACCCTAGAGATGCTGTTATCATGCACCCCAAGTATGCAGAGTGTACCTTGGCTTCCCTGCCTAAGGGTTCTGTTATAGGTAAGTCTTTTTATTTAATAGTCCACATGTTGATTTCAGAAAGATAAATTGCCTACGGTATGCAAAGGTGGAATTTATCAAGAGTTGGGGGGATTGAAGCACTTTCAGGTGAAATCAAGCAACAACCACTATTAACACTTACAGTAATTGTGTCTTGGGATAGAGGGGAGGGTTGTGCCTTCTTAAGACAGTTATTAGCTTTTATTCAGAGATAGATTTGACTAGTTGATGTCACTCCCTTTCTGGCTGAAGGTAGTTTAGTTCTGAGAATTTTCACCAAGCTTTCAAAGATTTTCATTAGACTTTGTTGAAGAGATGAATTTTATGTCTTTCCTATTTAGATGTTAGACTTGATCTGGGCCTATTTGTAATGTAAGTTAAATGTTATAACTAAAAATTAACTTCATAGAGTCTGTGTTTGTAATATTTCTATTTGTAGACTGTAGTTAGTGTTTTGGGTCCAATAGTAAGGTTAGGTCTGTTTTTACAGGAACAAGTTCCTTAAGACGCAGTGCCCAGCTGAAGCGCAGGTACCCGAACTTGAGGTTTGAGAGTGTGCGTGGAAATTTGAACACACGTTTACGGAAGCTGGATAGTGCAGATGATTATGCTGCTCTTATTTTGGCTGCTGCTGGAGTGGTCAGGATGGGCTGGAAGGACAGAATCTCACAGGTTGGTATGCAAAATATTTATTGCAGTGATCTTTCTTTTTTTGAACCTTTAAAATTTTTTATTGAGCATAGTTTCTTTTAAATATGTAGACTGAACCTTTAATTACCGATTGGAAGAGTACTTTCTTTTGGTTAGTATCAGTTTTACGCACACAAAAAAAAATATCTGCCCCTTTTCTTGTTAATACAATATGACAATGGACGTATAATTCTGATCACTATTTGTGAGTCCTTGACCAACGAACTGAAACTGCTGTACATTGTGTTCAATTCCAAACACATCGGACCCAGGTAGGCAGATATTTTTATTGTGTGTGTGTGTGTGTGTGTGTGTACAGTCAAAGGCAAAAGTCGTGTTGTGGTTTTGACCGAAGATTAAATATTACTCACGAAACATTAATTATGAGAGCCCTACCACAAGGCAGAGCGCACCAAAAGTTTTAGCCTTTCGGCATATGTTTTTACCAAATTTCACGACACGACTTTTGTCTTTGACTGTAACTCTAAAAGTCTTGATTTAAAAGCACTTTTATACAGTTAATTCTGTCCTTGTATATCTTGAATCTAATTTACTCTACACTATCCTATTGACATTAGTGTTGGCCTGTGCATAATTTCTCCATGCAGTGTGCTTATTACACATGATTTATATAATCATTACTGATGAATGGTGATAAGGAAGCATACCTGGAGGCCAAGCACGGCCAGAACTGAGGTTTATAAGACGATGAAGTGTAACAGGATGCATTTTTGGATAAGCTGAATAGTGTACTGCAGATGCTAGAGATGAAGCATTCAGTATAGCAAGGTAAATAGTGGGTAGGAAAGAAGGGCATAGTTGATGAACAGTGCATGAGAAATGGTAGTTGATAATAAGGAAATTAAGGATGCTTGGATAAAATACAGCACTTGAATAATCTGCTGAATGAGGAGTTAACTGAGACAAAATTAACCTAGAATTTGTAGAGCTTATACAGGGACTATGCCTAAAGATTGTAAAAGAATGGATGTAGAAAGTGATTGACAAAATGATGAATGGAAAGGTTAGGAAGCTAAATTAGTAATCTTGCACAGCCAAGCATCTATTACTGTATTAATTTTCATGTTCATTGTCTTACCTGTAAGTTATGTAGGCTATAATCATCGTTCACACATTCATTTTCACAAGGAATGTGGCACAACTTAAATTGTCATGATTCAAGACTGATTTTTATCTCTAACTTATTTATGGTTTTCTCAACTGCACATAGTGCAGTACAAGAAATTGAAATTCAAAAGAATTCTTTGTTAACTTTGCTATTAGCAAAACCATGTTAGCCTTAGAGTACACTGGCCTTCCTTGAATACATTTACTGTACAGTATTTATAATTGCTTTATATTTTTCTCAGTATCTAGGTGATGACCTATGCATGTATGCAGTGGGTCAAGGGGCTCTAGCAGTTGAATGTCGGGAAGGAGACTCGGACACTTTGGATCTGTTAGCTCACATAGCAGACCCCAATACGACTATTGCTGCTGTTGCAGAGAGGGGTTTCATGCGCACATTAGAAGGAGGATGTTCTGCCCCTGTGGCTGTGCACACTAAGGTACGCTTTCTTTTATGTTAATATTGATTACATATACAGTATGCCCGGATAATTCGCGGATTTTTATTTCGCCCTCCTCTATTATTTGCGGATGACACCCTGGATGTACCCAAGAATGTCTGTGGATAGTTTTAAAGTTGCTGGCATTTTTGTGACTTGGACAGGGAGCCATTCATTCTAGAGACAGTAATTTCCTTTACCTGTATTGTATATATGCATGTGTAGACATACACACACAAAACACAACACATAATAATAAATAATGATGGGAAAATACTCTCACAAATAATCAGAAACAAATGAATTGAAAATGTTGAGTCTACCCTCAAGTCCACTCTGTGCTTTATTAATAACAAAGCATGGAGTAGACTTGAGGGTAGACTCAACATTTTTAATACATTTGTTTCTGATTATTTGTGAGAGTATTTTCTCATTATTATTTATTTGTATGTGTTAGTGTGTGTATGTCTACACACTCAAACATATATTCAAGACAGGTAAAAGAAAAAATTGTCCTAAGGGCAAACACATAAGAGGGAATACACATTTTTTTGTACACAAGTAAAAATGTAGGCCTCCCCCCGCTGGTCAGCAAATGTTTTTGCGGCCATTTTGAGAACCTAACCCCTGCGAATTTGAAGGGCATGCTGTACAGTGTTATTATTTCTTTATTTATTCATCATTTCACCACTTCTCAGCATGTTCACTGTTTGGGCGGTTGGTCTGTTTTTTGTTACTCTGAATAAGTTCAAGACAGTTGCAGAAGAAAATTAGTGTGTATGTTTTTTATTCTGGCCATGTAAATGGAAAACGTATTATACTGTACAAAATCAGTGAAAGCAGTCGTTATGATTTTGTCTGTCACCAAATACAGGTGAACCCCGATAACCTACATCCCGTTGACCGCCAATTCGCATAACCGACAGTTACATATAGGGGAAATACCCCGCAAGTTTCGTTGATACCCTGGAAATCCGACGATCAGTAGAGCTGGCGTAGTACAAATTCTTGCCGCCAGAGGGTTCTGTGCACTGCCTCTCACTCATTCCCACCATCTTTGCTCTTGTTTGCACTTAGTTTGTGTCGCTGACTGTGCTTTTTCTTCATTTTTTACTTAATGTGTTATTCAATCATCCTTAAACACCCCGTGGTAGTTCCTCTTGTGCTTGGCAACTTGATGTGATGTGATAAGGCGTAATAAGGCATTTTAAGAGTGGTGATGGATCAGCAGAGAGTGGTAGAGACTTGAGCTTGCTACCCTAGACTATCTCTATCCTCCTCAGTGCAGGTAAATCACAGTACCAATTTATGTTTTACAGTAAATTGCTTATTTAAGGCTTAATATCCTTGCTTTATATGTCTACTTTATTTTCTTGTGTAACAGTGTACAGTCATAGACAAAAGTCGTGTCGCGGTTTTGATCGAATATTAAATATAACTCGCCAAAAGTTTTAGCCCTTCATCATATGTTTTCACCAAATTTTACGACACAACTTTTGTCTTTGACTGTACAGCACAGAGACACAAGGGAGGATGAGAGTTTTTTGGAGGGTAGCCGGTTCCTAACCCCTGAATTTGTTATGTTCTTATGTGATTAGTTGTTTTGATAACCGTCCCTATATGCATCAGTTATCGGGGTATGCCTGCATATAAAAGCAAAAGTGAAGGGTTTAACAGTGTTTGAATCGGTCAAATTTTGAGAGTACTGTATCAGGAGTACTGGTGGTGGAGGAGGGAACAGATGGGACTGTTACCCACCTGTTTTGAAATTTGATGTCTTAATGTATGGTACTTTAGGGAATATGAGGGCCTGAATTCAATTATTTTCTGAATTTCCCAACCAGCAAACTCTTAAGAAATGCTGATATTATAACATTAAATTCTTGTAAATCTATTGAAAGGAGGACAGATTTCAATAATCCATATATTGCATTTTCATCCTTCATCAGTAGATTGTGACTAACCATAACTTATAATCCATTTTGGAATGAGCCTCTCTCAGTACTTGAAAGAAATGTTTCCGTAAAACCAGGCACCTGTTATATCCACATCTTTTTCTTCATCTTGAATCCAGAAAATATGTATATTGGAACTGCTTGAATATACTGTAGTACATTATATATCACTACTGTGATGTGAATCTCTTAGCCCAACATTCATTGGAATGTCTGATAGTCAAAAATTTCAAATGTTGCAGGTGACAGAGGACAGTGTGAGCCTCAAAGGTGGAGTGTGGAGTCTTGATGGTTCAGAGGAGCTCTTGGACACCATGTCCACTTCCTCTCAGAATCCTGATGCCTCTCCAGAGTCCACACAACCACCAGAAAAGGTAGCAAAGACCTCCATCAACTTCTGTGGGATAGTTATTCTTTCTGAGCACAAGGATTTCATGACCCAAGCACACCAGCTTGGGGTCTCTCTGGCTCAGAGACTGCTAGATAAGGGAGCAGACAGGATTCTAAAAGCTGCCAAGGCTCAAAATGTTATTAATGTACCACCAGTTACTTCTTCCACATCTGCTATTAGTTTAGAGGAGAAAGAAGCTGAAGCAGTTAATGGTTCATAGAATTCATTGTTGTATAATTTGTTGTATATGTACAGTATATTGAGCATTCTGTCAATTTATTTGGTGAAAAAGGTTCGTGTAGTGATATGTGTGTGTCAGCTGTTTTAGTGAATGTCTCTTTATTGTTAGAAAACATATTTTTTCCTGTGAAATTGTAATGGAATTTTAGGCATGCAGTAATAATACAGTATCTCCGTTAGCTGAAATCACTCTCAATAGGAGCTTTCCGATAGCCAAAATTGAAATCTGCTCATAATTTTCGGGAAAATACGGGGTTTGGGAATGATTTCCTGATCCCCGGAAAATTCCTTTTATTTTTTTTCCCAGGCCCATTTTCCGGAAATTCACCCCAAAAAATTCTGGTATCCGGAAAAAATCTGGGGACGAGGGAATTATTCATGGTTTGAGAGATGGAATGATGTGTCATTCTGGAAAATTCCAGGGATGGCGGATTTTTTCCGCGTTTGAGAGAGTCGTCTCATTACCCAAAGATTACTCACTCTCAGAAGTGCTCTGCGCCAATTGTTCCAGCTAACGGAGATATCACTGTATATTGTACTGATGTTGGTAACATAATATAAATATCAGGACTTTTTACAGTTTATTTCAATAAGTTCCCATAGTTCATTATCTTTCTAAAGTAGTAGTGCCTTTTGGTAGGGATGAATAATGGTGTGTGTACAGTATATCTACATTTCATTAAGATTATCACTTGGTCTCTACACCATTCACAAGTGAATCAGTGTAATCACTCAGACTGAAATGGCTGAGGAAGGAGGGATAGTCAGTGGTACTGTTCGTCTCAAGACAAATAGCTTGTCCATAGTAAATAAGGTTGTGCTGGATGCATTGTAACTGAACTTTATAGTACAGTACAGTTATATACGCTGTCTATTTTGATGCACGTTAGAGGTGCTTAACAATTCCGTAGAGGGCTTCAGTTTTTAAATTTGAACAAGTTTATGAATTATTGTCGGTACTTTTTAATACTTTAAGAATAGCATTGTGTAGCATTGAACCATTTATATGTACTATCTCTTTGAAAATTTGACATTTATTAATTGAAATAACATAGCAAAGCTGTTAACTGGAATCTATTAGATTTCATATGAAAATACTGTACTGACTTTATGAAAGTGGTAAACCAACACACACATGGAAAATGACCATAAACGCTGATGATGGTGAGGACTTTTGGGACATAAAGTTGACAGTTAAAGTACACTTTTAACTCACATCATTGAGAAATGAAGAAAATTTGCTTCATTAAAATGGTAAAATTTTATTAGAGCTGGAACTATTTAGAGAAAATGGGAATTAGTTGAGAATATGATTTCTTAATGAATTGTAATTGAACAGTATTACAGTTAGCACAAGTTTCTTTTGGTAATTTGTGCCTTATAATTTTTGATAAGCATTGTTTCCAGTAAGGTAATGTATTGTATTGCACTAATGCATTATTTTATTGTATTTATTTAAGTGAGGGGGCAGTAGGCAATATTTTGTTGAAAAGATGTGTATATGGTTGAACTATAAAAGATCCAGTGATTTATAGTGAACTTTGATTATTGTTCTTAAAAGTTATCAACAATGTAAGTCCAGGTTCATGAGATATTGTTTGTTTTTCTCGAACAGATCAAAGAAAGAATTCCATTACGAGTCTCAGTGCAATATTGTACAGTACAGTACTAACACTAGTTTGCACGCTTTCTGCCTTACCTAGGTGAGCCAGATGGATATGTTCTTCACTTGGCAGTTCAGGGAAAATCAACATATTAACCTTACATATTTTTTGCAATTGCTGGAGAAATATGGTTTATAAACTAATTCAGCAGAGTTTATGTGTATCTGATATTCCATTATCATTTGTGGGACAATATAAATGCTTTCTAGATTGAAATGCAATTACAGTAGTGATATTTAGTATTTTTTCTCAGATGGGTATTTTGGAATCTTGCATCAAGTTTGGCAGTTTTGTATGAAGAATACTTTTACTGCATTGTGTAATTATGCTTCTCTTGACCTGATGGCTGTGTCAGACCCCAATTGGGGCAGTAATTATTAAACTGTCTCAGTCCCCTGGCAGGGCACAAGCAATGCATTTCATATTTCCTCTTCCGGTGTTTCTCTCCCGCTGACACTGAAATAACTCATTACATCTATATTAAGCCATGCTACTGTATTAGGAGACTTTCCTTATCTACTCAGATATAGCCAATGAACAAACTGCTTTTTGTACAAGTGGACAAGACTTGTACATTGGGTGGAGTAATAGCTTCATTTTACATTGAATTATGGTGCTTGGTAACATAAAACAGGTATGATAACACGAGAATATTTAGAAAATATAATAAGTATAAATTATTATACCTGTACCTGTAAATGCATGGCACTGTTCTTGTGTGTATGTAATAATGTATCAGATACAGTGTCACCTGGAGCATCCATGAAATGAGTGAGTCACTTGGGGAGGTATAACTTAATAATTGTAATATGAATATTGTAGTGTGTTGTAATTACACATGTTGTTTTTGTGCAATTTTAATGTCATATATGATGGCTTTGTCTATTTTGTCCACAAGAGTCCGAGGAAACTAGAGATGTAGCTTTGATTTTAGTCCAATTTATGGTGCTAAATTACTTGACATAGGTATGATATTAATTTGATGTTTATAAAATACAATAAATGCATATAAATGTTTGACATTTGAATGTACTGTATATAAATTTAGCATCATATACAATGGCATCCCCTGGGTCAAGTCTGAATTAATATGTTGACAGTTCCTGCAAGTGAATTTGAAGAATGTGTATGTCCCCACAGATTGAGAACTTGAATACAGTAAAGACAAATAATGGTAGTGCTACAGGCAGGCCATATCAAGTTTAAAAATGCTGCATTATACCCACTGTGCTATCATTATTATTACAAGAATAACCAAATATTGTAGTGGGTACCAGTAAGTGTTCAGACTTTCTACTTAATATTTAATACAGTTTCCTAATAATATAATTTCATGTTATAAAATGTTAATGATGCTATAAAATGAGCTTGAAACTTTGATGCTACCCACTTCTTCCTTTGTGAGGAGAGATGGAAGTGAAGAGATTTTTTTTAATGCAACTGGGGGGTAAATGATGAAATTCCTTAATGTATAAGCTATGTAAGAGTATTATTGTAATGAAAGTAATATGATTTTAAATTCATGCCTACAAGCCTTTTTGTGCTGTGCTATTGTATATACAGGTATATTTTTTACACTGTACAGTACTGTATGTGATATTAGAATTTATTTATGGGGTCAAAGACTTCATGAGATTTTTTACATTTTAATTAATGCACCAAATATTGCCATCTTTTGGTATATAGTGAACTGCCTTTGTACTGTCCCTAGAGCATACTGTACAGTATATGGGAAATATACATTGTGTTTTTTTGTTTAAACATACTGTAGTTTCGAGTAATTCTGCTTAAATTTGCATGTCATTTGACTACTTTGGAGATAAACCACTCCATAATTAAGGCACAATTAGGAAAACTAAAGAAAAATGTCCAATTTTAATGATTTACCTTGAAGTTGTGAGGTATGGAAAAATAGTTTCTTCTATTATCATGGTTAGGGAGATTCAAATCAATCTGTTGAAACTCTTGCACATACTACAGTACAGTATATACAAGACGAGCTATACCTTCTTTTAGTTGTTGGCTAAATAGACCATTCAGATTGGGACCCTTTTGTCCAGGCAGTTCTTCTTTCAAGTCCTTAGCTTAATGAAAATGGATAATTTTAGCTTAATTTGGAATATTTTAATTTGCATAGAAAAGCAAATTCATAGCTTCACATGATTACCAATGATGCCATTGTCAGTTTTTTCTGATGATAATTTATGACCTGATACCCATAATTCTGTCATGAATGTGTTCAGGCCTGTGTTATGATTCAAAGAGAACACGGTAGTTTTCCAAATTACTTTTTTATTAGTTAATTTTTAGGTTGTTACTTATTGGCTAATTATATCAGACAAAGCTTTTTGTTTTTATTGTGTTTTTGTTGTAAATATAAAAAAAAGTGCACTATGCTAGTACTATTTTTACTCACCTGAACTGTTTGCAGTACATGGTGAATGCAGCTTTTCCAACAAAATTTTGTTTTGATTAACCCTCTATTGTGTAGTGTACATAATTATGAATTTCTTTGGTGGCTGAAATATATAACACTTCTCAAAAGACAACAAAGGATCATATGTTAGCCACTTTATTGTCATTTCCACCTCTAGACCAGATGGGGCAGCAGTCGTAGTTGTGCTGTAGTGGAAATTCCCATGGAACGGAAGGCACAATATGTTTGCCTCTCTGGCTGTTACTTTACATTTCACGTATCCTTACAAAAATAATTTTGGCAGGAGTGTTGAGAAGGTATAAAATTTAATATGTGTGAAATTTTTTTTTTTGTCATGCTACTTTGACCTATTAATTCTACAGGGATTTTAAAAAGTGACTGTTCACATATGAGGGATGTTGCAGCTGTACATTATGCTTCATATGAGGTGCATCACAGTTTAAGGGTTAAAAGATGTATACTGTATTGTGTCACCTTGTCTCAGGGGATATTGTGTATTTAATCAAGAGGTTCATCATAATATTTGGGAGTGTTTTGTCTACTACTGTGGTATGTTTATAAGATCAAAGAAATCATATCATTGATTACTAAACATTGTGTAGGACTGATGTATTCTTATTCTCACAAAAAATTAAGTTGAATGTATTAGACATTTGGAGGGCAGTTTGGTAGTGGCAATTTGGTTAGAAAAAAAAAATTGCAAAAGTTCCAAAATTAAGATTTATTTTTGCTCAGTGAGTTAGACTACAGCACATAAATACAATGATGCTGGGGGGGGGGGGTGTTAGGAGATAAACAAACTCAGACTTATATTGTTCAGAATGAATGTTATCAGTCAAAACAATACAACAGCAGCAGTTATCAGGAGGCAGGGGTGTTAATACACTCTTCCTGAGAGTCGATGGTGCCTCTACACTGAAAAGGTATGTCTACACTCCAAGATGTAGCAGTGCCTCCATCTACACTGTTCTAAGATTCAATGGTGCCTCTACAGTGTCCCAGGTGTCCACTGAGGCTTTTACACTCCCAGAAATTCATTATAGCCTCCACACTATTCCAGGGATTTATTAAAGCCTCTACAGTGTCTATGTTATCCCAGGGGTTCAATGAAGATGCCTGTACACTCCCAGGGATTCAGTGAAACCACTACAATCTCTGAGCTTTAATGATGCTGCTGCTACACTGACTTGTCAAGTAAACCTCCTTTTTTCATATTCCCACACACACACACACACACACACACACACACTAGGTGTTGGTTATTCTTACACACTATCACTTGAGTTCAAATGTACTTCTATACTATAGTATTGTATCAAAGGTTTGACAGCTTCAACTGTACCTCTACATCGTATCTAAGTTCAGTTCTAACTACAACATCTCTTATGGTTTGTGTGTACCTCTCAACTAACTTTATACCATGCCTAAGGTTCAGCTGTACATCTGATGTACAGTTTTGCCTGTACACTGCCTGGGGTTCAACAATGCCTCAAGCACCACTGAGGTTCACCCAGATTGGCAAAAAAAATATTTAAACGAATACATTGTTACTAATACTCATGAAATACAGATTAATGATTTGACGAATTATTTAAGCCAAATTAAAAATCCATATCTTTGATAAGTACTATGTGTACGTAGATGAAATAGGAGTATGTTATCAAACATCCATGACCTCAATACAACACTATCATATTAACATACTGTCCTCTCTAGGCTCCTTGTTACTTTTGTTCATTGTATATAATACAAGAACAACATAATTTTTATGTGTGCTATTTATGCTTATCGTATGTTGTATATAAATTTATTTTTTCCAGAGAAAGCGATTATGTAATATTAATAACAAAATCGTTAATTTGTACTGTTTGACGAGTCGGATCAGGAACGTTTGCAAGCAGCCGAAACTTTAAGGAAATTTAACAAACGGTGTTCTTTAATTAGTTTATCCTGTAATAAAAAAATGGGGGTAGGCGAAGAGGGTGAACAAGCCAAGGAGAGTTTTGATAGTTCTAAGTTTTTCTGGAGACATATACTGATGACATTCATCTTTAATTTAAATATATATATATATATATATATATATATATATATATATATATATATATATATATATATATATATATATATATATATACACACACACTCCAGGCACTGCTTCATGACCAATAATAAATAAACAACGCTCAGTGGATGGCAAGAGTGGGGGAGGCAGTCACGCCCCCTCCTCTCACTACCTCCCTCGCTCACACGTTCATCCTCTCTCACCTTCCTCTCTCCTGGACGTCAACCAGGTAACTGTCAAACCGAGTTACCTCTTAGTTTCATTCGTGAGAAAGTGTTTAAGTGTTGCTATTTTCATGGCGGTAGTTCCATGTGTAACAAATGACGGAAACTGAGAAGTTTTCCTCTTAAAACGAGGATCTGGGAAGTTATAAACATTAAATCTAATATTTGAATCAGTGAGAAAATAGAGTTCTATGAGATATTGACGCACAGACTGTGAATAAGGGGATATTTACCATTTACTGCAAAGACAACGATCAGGCAACCGAGAGTTCAGGTGAGTTAACTTGTTACCTTGTTAATGTTTCAAGAATTAATTCTGTAGATAATTTACATTATCCCCTGATGATTACTTTTTTAATAAACTCTTTAGTTTACTCTTGTGATTACTTTAAATTCTACACATTACACAGTTACTGGTGATGGGTCAGGAGAGAGAACTGTGGAGAGCCATGTTCCGAACAGGACAGCTGAACAACTCTTATAAAGTAGATGAACCAAACCCAGTCACAGTTGTATTTGTGGTTAAGTTAGGACAGTTTTGCTTGGTGTCGCCTGAAAAATAAAAATGTAATTTCACAGTCGTGTTTCAGTAGTTTTAACTTTTAACACTGGCCATCTTGTCTGTGGAGAGTATTGCCTGGGAAAATTTGGTGTTTGAAGGCTTATGATTTAGATGTTTACAGAGTCTACATTATATTATTTCTTAGTGGGTAAATGTGTGTTGTAGTTCGGATTAGATGTATTTAGTTATCCTGGACATACTCGGTAACAGTAAGATGATAGGCTGTGTAATGAACGACCTTCACACTCCACGCTGTGAACCATGATTGCACCTCCCTTCACGAGGCCACACACACACACACACTTTACCTTGTATCCCCCGCTTTCTAAAGAGGGACCTTCCTAATTTCTAGACATCTCTCGAGCGCAGTCTTAGAATTAGTCATTCTTTTCCTCGTCACTGTTAACAGCCAGTAAACTGACGGTGCTCCATACTGTAATGGCACACTGGATCACCAGAAGATTAGACATCCTAACTTATTTCACCAGAAGATTAACCACCATAATGATTGATAACTTAACCCTCCCCACCCAGGTAGCATTTGAGCGGTTAATTTTCAGAGAAAATAAACGAGGATGTTTAATCTTCAGGTTATAATACTAACTCGCACGAACTTATTAATTACCTTATGAAAATTAAATACTGTATACCAAAGTGCTCCTCCCACTTCGTAAAATTTATTTCTAGGTGAGATTGGCTATTTCCTTTACTTTGAAGTACTGTATAGTCCTGTAAAATGGCAAGCCTTGGCCTCCGCCCCATCAGTGAATTGACAAACAAAAAATATTGCGCGTTTCGTTTTACCAGAACGAACCATTGCGTACTGCAAAACTTGAGTTTATAAAAGTTCTATAGGTTTAGTTATTTTGGCGTTAGGAAATTTAATCTCCATATAAAATAAGCTGGGGACGAATCTTACCTGCTTTTTCATCTGAATTTGTTTGAAGCAAAGGGAATAGTAAGTCGCATTTTGAAATTGATTCTTAGTGGGATGAGTATTCTCTTGTGAGTTAATTAATAAGCTCAAGCAAGGTGAACTTGAACGCCACGGAATATATAAAAGCCTAATGACAACTCTTCTCTATGTTTATTACGTCAAGTTATGTGCATTATTGTATTTATATGTGGGTTTAAAATGTACTTAGCAGTGGTGCACGTGGCTAGTGTGGTGCTGGCAAGTGTGCACGTAACTACAGTTTAATGTGTACGTGGTTGTGTGTAAACAAAGAAGTAACTTGCCTCTCACCAACACAGGTTCGACCCTGCCACATAGAACCAACATGTTCAGGTAAGATGAATTCATTGATTAAACAACCTGCTTGCTACTTAACTTTCTGGCTTGATAACCTACAGGCTAAACCTGCTTGCTTGTCAACCTCTGGATCCTTAAGCTTTTCACTAATTCTAAGCTTATTTATCTTACTTGTGTTGTAAGCAAGTTTTCTATTTAAACTTTTCCATAATTAAGATGCTCGCTAGTTAACGTGCACGCTAAATTGTAATTAATCATCTTCATTAACACGTTTGCTAGCTAACATGCACGCTAGATTATAATTAACCATCTTCATTTCCACGTTTTTAACTAGTTCACGCGCTAGTTAACACACACGATGGATAATATTCTCGTTGATCAACAAGTCCGGACCCTATAGTGCCACCTTCTGACGTCATCACAACAATAATTCTCCTGCACGTCACCACAACTACTGTACTGTACATTGATTTTATTTACTGCCGCATAATGGACTACCACAACTGACCTCTGGTTGATAATTAATTGTCTTTCTACCTAATTGCATTGTGCTATTGTGTCTGTTTACAGTATATTTTAGAAGGGCAAGGGGCAATATTACAGTTTATAAGCGCCTCAAAGGACATTACCCAGTCAAAGCCGAAACTTAAAAGATGTCACACGTACGGAAAATTTACTGAGTTAAAATTTTTGGAGTAAATTTCGTGAACTCTTGGAATGTAACCAGAGAATGTCTTGAACTTGTGACTGACTGACAGCACCAACCGTGAGCTCCATTAAGTCCAGCCTTGACCACCATTGGCTCATATTGAAATACATTGAAGGACCCGTACATGCCCAGTAATTGCCAACAGTGTGGTAACAGAGAACTAACCGACCCCCGACTGGCTAGTAAACTGAACAAATGAGGAAGAGGATAAAGTAGATATAGTAGTCAGTCAGTCAGTTATATGTTACGCACTAGCAATGTACTGTAGACTTTTGCATTAAGTTATGGACGGCGCGGAGAGAGCTGTAGTAGACGGATACAAAAGTGAATTGATTGATGGAGTTGCAATGTGGAATATTTTGCGGGTTATATGAAAGTTAGCCCTCCCCGCGCATTTCACTTTAAGATTAACCACCTTAACACTAACCTAACCTAATGTAACCTGGGGTGCGTAAAATTCAGGTGAGTGAGGTAATTTTAACAAACCACCCTACAAGCTCACACACACACAAACACACGCTATTTATGAAACTTTTGAAATTTTATGAGAAGCACTTGAGTGTGTGATCATGCAGCATACACTCACTCAAGCGGGAGACTAAATTCACCATCTTCATCTCTTCGTGACATCCAACCCGTGTGTGTGAGTCAGACTAGCTCATCATAGCGAGTGTCATTGGGAGTGCCATATTTAAGAGTCACAGGTGATAGTACACAAAATTCTCTCTCTCTCTCACTCTCCCTCGTCACTTTCCTCACTCGTTATATCTCACTTCCTCCGTTTATTGAGGTTTCTGTTTCCCATAATCCATCTTACCTCATGCGGAAAGAGACAGATAACAGACAGACACACAGACAGTCTGATAGGTGCACAGACACAGGGAAACATAAATACATACATACATACATACACCTGTATCAATCCGTGATGACGTTCTGGGTGAGTCATATCCTCTTACACCTCCGGCTGTCTCACCTGTATTACTGACTCACCTGTATTACTGACTCACCAGTATTACTGACTCACTTGCATTATTGACTCACCTGTCTTACTGACTCACCTGTATTACTGACTCACCTGTATTACATACTCACTTGCATTATTGACTCACCTGTCTTACTGATTCATCTGTATTACTGACTCATCTGTATTACTGATTCACTTGCATTATTGACTCACCTGTATTACTGACTCACCTGTATTACATACTCACTTGCATTATTGACTCACCTGTCTTACTGATTCATCTGTATTACTGACTCATCTGTATTACTGATTCACTTGCATTATTGACTCACCTGTTTTACTGACTCATCTGTATTACTGACTCATCTGTATTACTGACTCATCTGTATTACTGATTGACTTGCATTATTGACTCACCTGTATTACTGACTCACCTGTATTACTGACTCATCTGTATTACTGACTCATCAGTATTACTGACTCATCTGTATTACTGACTCACCTGTAATATATTAATGACTCACCCGTGAGGAGAAGAAAGGAGGGTGATGGTGTGGCACAGGAAGGAGAAATATGATGTGGCAAAGGTGGGGGGAGGGAGGAGAGAGTGAACATGTGGAGGGACTGAGGGAAAGAAGGGGTGAGGAGGGGAGGGAGGGGGAGGTACACTTAGGATCAATAATCACTGGTATGTCGCTATGACCAATGCTAGCGGACACGCGACCCAATGTTGGCTCCAGTGTGGCGCCAGGGGTGGCAATGATGGCGCCAGAAGTGGCAAATGGGCCGCCAGGGGTGGCAGTGGGGGTCAATTAACCCCCAGTTTTAACTAATGGGCTCCATCGCAACCCATTCATAAGATAAAGGATCACTTCTGGTCCATTCTACTTCCATTGGATGCCAGTTGTAATAGGTCTCAGCAATAGTAATTAGGTTAGTACTGGAGACCATTTGGTATACATGCCTCAGTAGTACTAGGAACCAGTGGTGTTCAGGCAGTAATTTGAGAGATCACTAACAGACAGACAGACAAACGAACAATTTCCTGACGGGTGTAGTAAAGAGACCGGGACGAGAGCGGGCCGAGGGTGTCAGTGAGTTAAGCTAAGGTGAGGTAAGGCGAGGTGAGGTAAGGCGAGGTGAGGTAAGGCGAGGTGAGGTAAGGTGAGGTGAAGTAAGGTGGCGTTAGGTGAGGTCAGTTGTTGTTAGGTGAGATAAGGTCAGGTAAGGTCAAGTAAGGTAAGATAAGGTTAGGTAAGGTAAGGTCGGCTCACTAATTGTTTACCTGGCACACTAACTGATAATAACGACACACAAAAGACTAATGACACCTTGTTTGGTCGCACCACAGTAACTGATAGTGTGGTGAGGAAGAGGAGGGGGGGGGGGCTTCACACACGCCGGCTGGCTTTTGTTAATAATACACAATAACTGATAACTGAGATCACGTGAAGATTAGCCCCCCTTCCTAGCTTATTTCACCTGGTGATTGACCACCCTAACGACATCTATGGGGGGTTTAGGTTAGGTGAAGTGTGTCATTTTCAGGTGAAATAAACTAAACCTACTAAGGTGTTGAATCTCCAGTGAAATAAACTGGGATGTCTAATCTTCAGGTGATCTAATGTAACGGTTAAAGTGAAGAGAAACCTAAATCTGGGATGTATTGTATAGGTGATATTAAAAGCTGCTGTCCTTATAAGATAAAAAATTTTGGAGGAGGAATTTTGGGCAAGAGTATATAGTGTTCACCTCCACCAACCATGGCCGTATCCCTGTGTGGCGCCGACACAACACAAAGTAACACACCCATAAAGTTATGTTTGTAACCTGTGACCTGGTTAATTTTAGGACTGTATATCAAACTACTTTATGAAATGCCGCATATGTTGCCGTAAATAATTCATAATTTGACATGAAAGTGAAGAATACGGCAAAGTGACAAGTTCTTCAACATCTTACGGAGATATGATCGGCACAATGTCTCTGAAGAACGACGGAGCGGCCGAGTGAGGGTGAATGTCACAGATCCAGGGACAGTTTATTGCCCAAACATCCTTAATGATTTTTTCGTTCCGTCCTTGAGAGAAATTTTCCCTTCCACCTGGACCCATAATATTTGCTACTACCGTACTGACAATCACAACGTAAACTAGTGATACAAACTGCCGTACTGTAGTTAATAGTTTGATTAATTACACAGGTAAATAAACGCCAAACATTTTGTCTTTCAACATCTTTCATGAATTAAGCTTAAGGTGATTGACTATCTTTGGTTTGTGTAAAGTCTGTCTAAAATATTAAGACACAATATACCAGACAGGTGTGTGAAGACTGTTGGTAGCTCTGGTTAGGTCTTGGTCTGGTTGGTCGTCCTGAGACAACACACACGTCTTCGAAAGGGTTGACCTTTTGGAAAAAAAATGTTGTTTCGTTATTTGTTATGATTATTACACATTTATCTTATTTCCGTTTGTTTCCCGTTTTTTCTTTGTTTGTTTTAAAAAAGCAAATACTATAAAGCGGATTTTACAATATACACAAATCTGGATACTTTTTGTCACCAGTTGACGGACATCACTTTGAGACATCGATGACGTAAGTGTTTCGAGGGTTCAGGAACAGCTTTTCGATACATCAGACTCGGTCATCCCAAAACGAGTCATTATACGAACCAAAATACTGACATATAATCTTGTGTAATACATTACCTTATACTTTAGAATTAGAACAGATAAAGACAATGATCTCTGAAGCTACTTGTGTGGAGAAACGAATGAGTAAAACACGACCAAACTCAGTCGGCTATAACACTGGGGCAAGGTTTGGTCGGTTCGTCTTTGTATCTGTCTCGTTTCGCGGTTTCGGATTTATGAGAATGTTAACAGAGGCTCCTAACTGGGCATGACCGACCATTGTTGTCTCTGCCTCAGTGCCGTTAAGGACGTACACGAAAGCTTATGGACATGGAAGTAGCCGGCGAGGTGAAGAGACTGAAAATTATCGTCAAGAGTTTATCGGTGTAGTTAAGTGTTTGTAAGCGTCATGAAGTGTATCAAGTGTCACAAAGTGGTTATAAGTGTCTCAAAGTGGTCTTAATTTTCAAAGAGTGATTTTAAGTGACGTATAATTTTCGTGGGTCTTGTGTAGTGACTACATGTATCATAACGTGTTCGTAAGTGACATAAAGGGTAAATTTGCATTTTCAGCCGGTAATGTTTTACTTTCGGTCATCCAGGGAATCTTAGGAATTTAACTACGGGAATCAGTAGTTTAGACAATTCTAAAGCAGTTTTCTTAATGAAGTTTCCCTCGCAAATGACCTGACCTAACCTCCTAACTGGAGGGACTCGGCCCCCC